CTGCAGACTACAGTTACGGGCTGGATGAGTGAGTCTTTGTCCCAGTTAATCGGACGTCAACTAACTCTGGCAGCGACGATTTCATGTGAGCAACCGTCCAACGATATGATGCAGCCGTTAAGTGTTCTGTTTTGTTCTTCTGTTAACTGCCGCCCTCCTTCCCAAGCCTCGCGCAACCCAGCAAATGGACCCCGTCCCAGTCCCCGTGACGCTCCTTAGAGCAGAGAGGAACGATGAGACATTGCAACCGGGTCGGGTGGTGATTAAGAGTCGATAGGAGCAGCGAATGACATTGAAATACTACTACAGTTACACAGTCTGCGTGCCGTAGCCGCGAATGCGGTCTGCAAAATCCCAACTTTGGTTTTCCAGAGGGACCTTGTTCTTTAGTTCAACGCCCTGTTTGTCGATGACGGCGATGCTGTACTCGTTCATTGATCGTGCATCACGGTAGAACAGCACCTTCATACACTCTTTCACCGCCTCTACCGCCTGCTCTTTGCTTAGTGACATTGTCGACTGTTCATCCGGCACAAGATGTCGTAGGATTGGCTGGGCAAGATGGGCACCGAAGCCCGTGGCCAAGCTGGGGCCGCTAAACGTCGTGCCGAGCAGATCCACGTAGGCCAGGAACGGTTTGTCTTGCTCGTCTAGTCCAGCCACAAGGATAGCGTTCCACAGCGGATTGAAATCGGACCGCCGCTTGTACATGACTTTGCTGAGGTATTTGTGGACGTTCTTGGCCGACATCAGCGCACGATCATCGTCCTGCGATTCGCCATTGCCGTAGTAATTCTCCTCCACGTTAAGCTCTTGTAGCAAGCGATCAATGTGCTGCATGTCCGATACATCGCCGCCGAAGCCAACGACCGTCTTACGGTTGAACCTCTTCAGCCGATGGACGTTGGTGAAGCGCGCAAGCGCACCGTACGATGCCAAATTGTCGGCCGCGATCACCGTGCCGTCTTTGTACTTGATGGCCACCACTGACGTTCCCGTAACGATGGGCGTCTGCGTGTGTGTTTGCGGCTGTTGCTGCCCGTGAAGGTGCGCCCAATTATATGCGCCGTACACATCATTTCGGGGCTATAGAGGTCAGCGCAGTTCTTCTCATTGTATCCAGCTACCTACTCGTCCCCAAGCTTCGGGGAAATGGTTCATGGCTGCTGTGTTGAGAGGTGATGTTGCTTGGCACCACAGTTGCCTGATTGGGAATGACGCGGACGTGACTTATCCCGCTAGCCCCGTTTTTACGTATGAAATTCACCAACATCAATGAACTCCCTCGTCAGCTATGCCAGCAGCGAAGAAGAGGAAGAAGGAGAAGCTACACAAACTGAGAGCTTTCAGCAGGTCCAGATAGAGCCAGCTATCCACACAACATCAGCCCCAGTAGGACCAAGCCGACCTGATGTCGAAGAACACAGCTTGGACCTCGAACGCCAGCGAGTGCAAGAATTGACAATGCCCACAATCCCCAACTTCGCTATCCCCAATAGTCCAGAGCCAGAGGAGTCTACCAAGTCGGCTATAACTGCAAAATTCGAACGTTTCCTCGCTCTCAAGAAGCAAAACGTGCATTTCAATGAGCGGCTGAAGAATAGTCCCGCTCTGGGTAACCCTAGTCTCTTGCCTAAGCTAATGGAATTTGCGGGAATCACTCAAAATGAAAGCTATGCAAGTGCTTTGCCGGAACATTTGGCTGTTCGGACTGAGTGGCCGGAAGAATGTTATCTGGAGGGTTTGCAGATGCACCTAAAGTCACTTCCCAGGAAGGAAGAGATCGAATATCTTCCAGCCACCGCGGATATGGATGAAAAGTCTGGGAATGTGGAACATCTTGTAACGCGATTACCTGCATGGGGCAAAGGCCAGCCTTCAGCGAGATAGTTGCAGTTCATGTCAGCGTGGGGCAAGCGGGAACAGTGACGTGATTAATATTGCGCGGGGTAATTCGGCTTCAAGTTGAGATCTGGCAATTCGCAAAGGCCGGAAAGAATAGACAGCTACATCACAAAGAGTGAAAATAGCAGATAACATGCTGTCTCCGCCAGCTTCTGCAAATGCGGGAACGCTGCACTATATACCAGCGCGTCTCAGCGCCTTTGAGCTTGGAGCGTCCAAGGCGAACACACTGATATGGATCGCTGGGCTAGGCGATACGCAACTGTTTGTAGATTATCCAAAAGCCCTCTCCACGGCTCTGGCTCTCAGTAACTGGAGTGTGGCTATAGCCAATCTCCACTCCACAGGCCTAGGTTGGGGTATAAGCTCCATATCGAGAGATGCAAACGACCTTTCCAAAATCGTTGCCTACTTTCGTTCACATAAACCCGGTGGGAAAATAGTCCTCATGGGTCATTCCACGGGCTGTCAAGATTGCATGGAATATCTTCTTCGGAAGAATGAGACGGTGGAAGGAGTCATTCTTCAAGCCCCTGTCTCGGATCGCGAGGCAATGGCCATGGGAGATCAGAATCTCGTTAAAGAGGCAAACGAGGCGGCAACTAGAATGAACCCGGAAGACGTTTTGCCCCATCGTTTAACCCGTCCGCTGTTTGGTCGTGTGGCTATCTCGGCAAGACGATGGCTGGATCTTTCTTCGCCTGAGCACAACGGCGCAGATGACTTCTTCTCTTCGGACCTCTCCGACGAGCAATTGGAGAATACCTTTGGCAGCATAAAAACGCCACTGCTCATTCTATACAGCGGTAAGGATGAGAATGTGCCTGATTTTGTGGACAAGGAGGCACTGGTACAGCGGTGGCTTGACATTGTTCGCCACGGCGATGGGGAGGCACAGGGTAGAATCATTCCTTCTGCTACGCACAATCTAAATGGAAGCGATAGGAAGGTTGTGGGAGAATTGGTCAATTTCGTGGTTTCATTCCTCCATAACAAGGAATCAAGATTGTGAATCAGACAAGTTGCGGTATAGAGACTCGAATTCTTCATCGACCTTGCAGACAACATCGGTATAAATCATCTTTTGCACATCTTCATCCGCCCATTTGTCTGGAACGGGGCCCTTGCCTTGTTTCAGAGCAGCAAACTGCCGATCTCTTTCTTCTTTCGCCGCTCCCTCTCCCAGATGTAACGCCCGTCCCGAAGCGGCTGCAAGTTCCACCAGTGCATAGGCACGATCGCGACGCATAGCCTCATATACACGCAAACCCTTGGCAATGGCTTCGGGACTTTCATTCGGCAGCTTTGCCAAGACTCGAGCAAGGACAGCTGCATCTTCCACAGCCTGAGCAGCACCTTGAGCCAGATGTGGCAGCGTTGGATGACAAGCATCGCCCAAGAGAGCAGTCTGGTCCCATGTCCAAAACGGTAGCGGCTCATGTACACGCAACTTCCATTCGCAAACCTCACCATTGGGCACAAGATCCAACATCCTTCTCACTTTGGGACAGAAATCAGCAAAAACCTCCATCATCTGCCGCTTACTCCCCTTTGTCGTATACATCTCCGACGGAGCCGCCGCAAAATTCCTATCCGGCTGCACAGTACTCAAGTTATAAATTCTATGCCTCGCCACTGGGTAAGCAATGATATGTCTCTTCTCACCTATCCATCTTGTGACGGATTCCCCATCCACCAACTCCAACAACTCAGGGTCATGTTCCATATCCTCCCTCCTCAACATAATTCTATAAGCAGCCTGACCAGTCTCCTCGACCTTTACTTCCTTCCCAGCCCTCCTCATCATCCCATCCCTAACAAGAGATTTAACTCCATCCGCCGCGATGAGAACATTACACTGCACCTCCCTCACCCCCTCTCTTCCCTCAACCCTAAATCTCGGCCTTGGCCCATAGGAAACCACATTCGTGACCCTCTCTCCAAAACAAAACCCAACCCCCTTCCTTTCACACCCCCTAAACAATGCCTCAGTAAGACTAGCCCTATGTCCAACCATATGCGGGTACCCATACACCCTCCTCACATCCCCAAGCTCCACAAACCCCAACTCCCCATCCGTCCTTCCAAGTCTAATACTCGTAGATCTCAAATCAACAGCCTCCCTCTCCACATCTTCCCACACCCCCAGCGTATTCAAAATCCTTGCAAGGTTAGGAGCAAGTTGAATCCCCGCACCCACGAAACCTAGATTACTCGCTGATTCGTAGACGGTGATGTTTTGAAAATTTTGGCAAGAGAGGGATAGGGCGAGGGCTAGACCGCCCATCCCGGAGCCGATGATGGAGATCTCAAGAGTCATGGTTGAGGTGTTTCATGGTGAGGTGTAATTTGCCAAACTTGGGGTCCGTTGCCCTGCTTCTGGAAGGTGGGGATGATGCGAGTGGTGTTTTCTTGCGGTCAGATAGATATCAATAAATGCCAGAACGCTGGCGTATTGTAGATTCGCAAGAGGTCTGATGATAAAGTCTCGATCTATAATGGGTTGGCGATGTTCTCTCTATGAGCGTGATTGATTGAAGTCTATATACAAATTGTTCCAAACCGTTATTAGCTAGTACCAATGGTCTAGTGGAAAGGTGGTATGGTCTAGTGGTATGACGTCACGTTGTGGCTTGATTGCAGCATCCGTGCCAGCCTCAGTTCGATTCTGGGTACCGCCAATTTTTTTTCGCCCAAAAACCGATCTATTTTTCGGTAATGTGCGGATGCATTTGTTGAGATCAGAGACTTTTTCGAAATTTTTGTTCTGATCGTTTATCAAGATCTACGGCTTGTTGGGTAGGGTTGATGAATCCCTTTTACCAATGCAATGTCACTTTATTTGCTTCTTTAGATTTGACGCATCTGGGCAGTAAGCAGGGCAGGGCAGGGCATTGTTTATTTAATTATGATAATCCATCTGGTAGAAAGTGTCTTTCGTGAATCGGTTGCTCTTTGCATCCCTACGCTCGTAAGAAATTGCGGTACCTCTTCGCTAATGTAGGTTCAGCTCGGACAACATGAGAGCTGGCATAGTACTTTCACGACTAGGTCTTTGGGTAATAGACAGATTGTATTGTGATGGTAAATGTAGATCCGATGTGGTCTAGTGGCTAGGATTTGCCGCTCTCATACTCGAGCGCCGGCAAGGCCGGGGTTCGATTCCCCGCATCGGAATCGATCACCAATTATTTTTTGTCTCGAGAGCATCCTTTGTAAGCTGAATACATAAGCCTTCATGATTTTCTTGGAATAAATGTAGGACTTACCGATGGAGTATGGCGCGAATGAGAGACAGGAGGGGCTGCCAAGATAAATTGATGGATACGACTTTGTTGGGCATTACAATTAAGGTTTGTAGTCTGCTTCCACGTACGGCTTGGTCTCAGGTCTTGGCTTTCTCCATATTTCTCTTTGAACACACTCCTCCACCTAGGTTTTCGCTAGGAGCCGAGATGACTGACAGAGATATCCGCTAGCTAATTTTGGCTTGGCCGTGAGATCTGACAACTGAAAGCGGCATGGTGGGCATGTGTCTCCGAGTGACTATACACTGTTTACGACATCATAACCAACCACCACGTGTTAATGACAATATCACGTAAAGAAATTTCACGCGTGTTGCTCGTAACAACGGAATGGCCTTTCTCCGTGTCGCACCTTCCCTCCCGGAGGAAGTGCACGCCACACCACGCTTGATCTCTTGCACTGCATCCACCTGTCTTCCGCCATGGTCGAGTCAAGAGGTCGTGCAGCCAATTCGCGAAACGCGGTTAGTCGTTCGCCTAAGAAGAAGCCCAGCTTGTTCTTCAAACGATCCAAGTCTACGGATCCGAAGATGACACTGCAGGGGGCTTCAGATGAAAACCAGAACGTTCATGACAACCACACTGATTCGCAGCCGGTAAATAACCAGGCTCTGAACTTGCATATGTCGGGTCGAATTGCCAATTTTTTTGGTCGTGGAAAGCACCGTGGTACTTCTGACATTACGAACGCTTCGAACGCTACCATGCCCCCGCCGGATCAGATTGACATAGTCGATGATCCGCAAAAAGTCAAAGAACCTGTCGGAGATATTGATAAGGGCAAATGCATTGCACACGGCCATGAAGATAAAGACCCATCTTTGAAGATATATTCTTCAGCACGCCACCTTAATCAGGATAGAGCGCGGGGGGCATATTGTCACCCTTCGGCTTCTCGTGGACAAGCCGCCCTTGCTGCTAATAATCCGCTCAACTGGATGGAAGATTACCACTTCCCAGAGTACCCGCAGATTGATGGTTGTAGGGTGGGCGACTTGAAAGTCATTGAGACCAAGCGCTCGACAGAGCCACTCTCGGGCAATGATGATGGCAAACATGCCACCAAGCTGTTTGACGAGGGTAGACTCGAAGTCGATGCGCCACAGCCTAACCTCGCAGAGAAGGCTTCGCCTGAAGGTGGACCCAAGACGGGTGAAGATGCAGGCCAAGAGGAGAAACATGATTCCCCTACGTCGCCTGTGCGCGTTAAGAATCCCGAGGGATACACCTGCCTTGGTAGTCTCAACGCCTTCACTGCTCACTCTGCGATGTTAGGAACAAGCGGGGAACGCTCTGTGCCATACAGCAAGAGCACTCCTACTGCCGCCTCGGAAGATGGATTCCAAAATATGGTTGAGCAGTGGATTTATTGCCAGGCTCAAATTTCGAAATGGTACAATGAGTACGCTGAAACTATCAAGGGGCATGACAATCCCACGGAGAGAGACGATGGTGCCGATTCTACGCACCTAGAGCCCCACTCTTCAGAGCGCATGGAACTAGGCGACCACACTGGAGCGGAGGCCGACACGTCCAAAATTACAGCTGAAAATGAACAAAACAAGCTTCCCAAGGAAAAAGACAATTCTGGCGATGATGCAGAGAAGGATGCATTCGACCCGAAGCCTACTGGCAAAGTACCTGAAAAGACTGAAGGCCATATCGGCAGCCCGACCAAGCGTAGCAGGCAGATGTTGGCTAAAGCCGCCGGCAACGTCTTCGCACGCATTGGCAAGTTTGGACGCAGTAGTTACAGCCACAACATCGGTAGTGGCTACAACAAAGTCAACCAGGCTACTCCATTGTCTGAAAATGGTTACACCTTGAAGATTCTCATCCTGCCTCTGGTCGAGCAAGCACGCATGACCCGCAACGGGAAAACACCAGCCGAATGCCACGACAGTATTGAGTTCTGGATACCGAGTCTCCCATGTCGCTGCATCGAATACTTGGCGGATCATTCTTATGATGAGGGTCTATACCGCATACCTGGCAGCGCAGAGCGCGTTCTCTACTGGCAGAACCGCTTCGACAGTGAGCTTGATATTGAACTTCCTCTTGAACAGGAGCTTAACGACCCCAATGAAATCTCAAGTCTCCTAAAGAAGTGGTTTAACAACATTCCCACGCCAGTGGTACCACACGACATGCAGAATGAACTCACCGAAGAGCTGGAGAAAGGGTGGATGGTCGGCAATCCCGTCCCTCAGCGCATGCGTGACATCTTGTCACAGCTTCACCCGTGCAACTATTACCTGCTGTTTGCGATGACGCGCCATCTGAACTCGATGCTTGGTAAGAAGCGGTCGAATAAGATGACATTGCAGAGCCTCAGTATCTGTGTGAGGTTGAGTTTGGATCTCAAGGAGCGTTTGTTTTATTGTCTTGTTGGCGATTGGAAATCGTGTTGGCAGGGTTGTCGAACGGAGATTCAGGCACTACAGGAGGAAGTGAAGTTACAAATTGAGCGGAAGGCAAATGAGAAGGGGGGGTAGATGGGTTAGATACCAAAGGTTGAGCCTTGATTGGTTTGACAGTGTCAGAGATCAGGAAATGCCATGGGCAGGATTGTGCGTAGTGCGTAGTGCATAATGGGCAATTGTAGTGGTATTGAAAAGATCACTTTGTGCGTTTTATTGCCTGGTCTTCCGTGGGTGCGGAAATACGCATTTGTGGCGGAAGTGACATCGTATATTGACGATGATGAACTTTATTCCTGCTGCATTTTTACCGTTACACAGCCACCCACGATTGCCATGCGAGTAATTCATTTTATACCTACCAGGTTCTACACATCCCACCAGCATTCTATTCCCTCGCGGCATAAAACTCTGACCGTCTGAGCTCCATAGAGTTGAATGTACCGAATCTAGCCCCGCCAGAAAATCTTCCTCTGTACAGCTCAAAACTCTCATAGAGTTTGCAGGTTGTCGAGTTCTCAGCATCCAATTGATCTTCAGTGCGATTGGCCCAATCGGCCTCCATCACCGTTGCCACATCATCCCTCATCATCATCGTCTGAACTATCTGGTCTATTTATCCCTTGAGTCTGTATCATCATCATCCATAGAGCTCAATACCCATGGAGGTGTGACGAGATGTCGTCGGTGAGGTGTCGCGTGATGCTACCTCAAAGTAGTAAGGGTTTTCAAAGCGCTGCGGTCACTGTATTAACATCCAGCTCCTCGTTGAACCGGCCCCGTACAGCACCATATCTTCGCGCACGCTGTACGCATTTGGCACGCTGTTACAGGCCGGTGGGCCGGGACCGCCTAGTTCTTCATCTTTTGCTAAGTGTATCGACGTTGTTTTTTTGGGTCGTCTGGATCGCCGCTGGTCCAGGGCACCTATCTCACACGTCGTCGTGGGCGCTGTGGCCGATCGACATTCTTCGGATTTCTCCATGATGGTTGTCCTGTTTCTGCGTTCCAAAACGGCACGGGACAGTATGATGCTGTAGCTGTCATTTGCCCATCATGTGAAGACTCCGTCAGGACGAAAGGCGTGTTCACCCGAGCGGTGGAATCCAAATGTGTTTGTTTGCTGCCATTGTGCCCCATACATTGACATGGCAGTTTGCTCATTCAGTGCCAGTGAGCAATAGCACTCTGGCGGGCTGTAGCGCTTAGCCGACCGTCCTGGCCATTGGGGTTGGCATCATGACACGTTCGCTTGCAATGCACGCATGCTTGTTTCAACAAGCGGTATCATCTGGCTTTCGCGTCGAACATTACGCCTCAGGCATTTTCTGCAGATATGAAAAACCACAGTGCAACCAGGACGAGCTGGTAGACGTCAGTGTTACGGTGCTCAGAGGAAAAGGTTCAATAAGTCCCAACAACGAGGACAATCCAGACTGCTATCTACTGGGAAGCTAGGATACTATAAACCAATCCAGAAGCGCCGTTCATTCGTGCGTGGTAGCGAGCGTAACTATGAATAACTAGCAGGGCGCGTCGATGTATCAATTCCCTATGCGCTTAGGCGGCGCGGGTCGTTCCGCGCACACACAGCCTCGCCGTAACAGTCAGCGTCTGTGTTGAGAGTTACGCCAGGACGCCTCCACCGGCGCGGCAAGGAGAGGAAATGTGAAGAAATTATACTCACGTTTCTCGGATGTGGCGTTTGGTGGATTGATCAATGACATGTGTCATTGTCGTTGCGTGGTTGTGTGTCAGAGGGAAAAGGGGAGCGAGGGGCAAGAAGTGTGTGCCAAGATTGCCCCACGTCGCAGCACAACCCGGGCCGCATGTGACGTAACAGCGCCGCAACGCAAATATCCTTGTCGAGGTCAAAACTCTGGGAAGTTCGGTGACTCATTTATCTCAGGCTAACAGCCACCTATTGACGAGGTGTTTCAGAATCTGGGTGGAGAGTTTTTTCATTTGTGAGAATTGGGATAGGGCCTGTTGAGGAAAGGGGTTAACATTAGACATTGTGTAGACATATTTTGCACGGAGTCTGCCAACAATAGGCTGGGATCACATTTTCATTGTCCCATGCTGCCATTGCTGCCATCCAACATCTGCTCTTCGCCAGTATCCATTTATGTGCGTAGGGCATGACCCCTGCTTCGTGATGAAAGTGGTAACATCTCTTGTGTGGCGTTGGCTTGGCCAGTCCGTTGGGGGAATTCTTTCGGTTTCAATCCTGCTATCGAAGGACAATAATCTCCTTTTGTTCCTTGAAAGGCTGTAGTCGATGCCTTGGCGTTTGTTGAGTCTGTTGAGTTTGTGCCTGTTGGCTTCGTCACGTAATGTTGGATGATGGCTAGTACTTGATGTTCTTGTTTTGATGTTTGGATATCGGTTCTCCTGTTCGCTTTAGTCAGCATGGATGGAAACACTTCATTGAGGACTCAAGTACTAG